CCAAAAGGGACCGCTGCAATTCTGATCCAATTTGACTGTATAATAACATCTACAAATCACTATAAATGCATTAGTAGAATATAAGTAAAAATAAATAAATAACTGGCAAAAAAAAATTAAATAAAAAACCTTATCACAACATGTAGACAGTTTGTAATTGAGTTATTTTAGTTTTTCTTGTCGCAGATAACAGGCAGAGATTAAAGGCAGTATTAAATGCTTACTATGCCCCTATTAAAAAGAACATGACATTGAAAGAAATAGGGGGGTTCTTCACCAAGCAGTAACAAACTAAAAGCCACATGGAAACATTTAAACCAATATAATACAGGATTTGAATAGGAATCTTCTCAGGGAAAATATTTTCATTTATTTATATATTTAAACTAGATGGGTCATTCACAAAAGTGACAATTACAGAGCATTGGAGGGGAGTTAAATAACTGAACCTTCCAAGCCTGGTTACGTTGGATAAAGATTTGTAATTCCCTGATCAATTTGAGAAAATTCCCAGTTTAGTTAATGACCTTTCAGAAATGACTTTAAACACAGGATATTTTATATTTTTTTTTTAAAGTAATCATTAGTAATAAAATAAATGGTGGGTAACTCTTGATGCCTCGTTTTCAGAGAAAGTATTAAATATACAGTGAGTCAGCGACCCAGCCACAGGCGTGATGTCATCGCCACGCAAGGGCAATTAACAAATTGTTCTCTGTGTCATCACGGGTTGAATAGAAGTCAGATTAATTGAGAAAACTCTGACCGAGATCTGGGGAGAAGTCCCAGATTAATTGACTCTAAAACCACGAATACCTTTTTTGGATTAGCTATTGGCAACACACGAAAGTGATATTAATCACAAAACTACTCCTCGTCTGTAAACCCTAAGGCTGAGTGCCCACTCAGAAGCACCAACTGAGAAACTCAACAATTGTCAGTCTAGTAATTAATTTAAAAAAAAACAGGAATGCGAATGAGTTACGCTGAGAATTTGCCCATGTGTATTCTGTGAAATGTTGAGTTATTTCAGCGACGCCACTGTTAAAATACTGCTGCGTGTTTCTCAAATCCCTAATCTTGTTCACTCAAAGATTCTCGAAAACTGACCAGTGACAACGAGGATCTTCCCATTCGCATTTAGTACACCACCGTTGATTCAGGGAATCTGAGACTCTGAGAATCTGTATTTTACCACAGTGACAAAACAAACAAATAGCAAAATACATGGGGGCTGGCATTTCCTATAGAGAGGCAGTAGCTGTGAGGTCGAGACATTTTCTGACGTTAGAGGGAAACGCTTTCATAAACTAAGAGTCGTAGATGCATGGAATAGTCTTCCAGCAGAGACAAACAGTGGAAGATTTCAAGAAAACCTGAAATATATCTTCTGCTTTACAGAGAAGGACAGATATCAAGAACAAAATCTATATTTGTAGGAAGAGGATGTCAGATTAGAGGGGCCAGATGGTTTCTGATCATAAGTTCTGTTTAGAACGTAACGTATATTGAGAATATTAACATGTAACTGGGATGTATAGTGTTACATAGCAATATACTGAATGTACTAGATTGTCAGTTCCTTTGAACCGGACCCTCTTCACTTCTTGTATCTGTCAACATTATTTAATCAATTTACTGTCAATTACTTGCGGTTATATATAACTAGTAAATAGTTGTACAGCGCTGCAGAATAGGTTGGTGCCATATACATCTTAGTAATTCCTATAAAGTATGTAATTGACCTGCAATGCTTGTAAAATAAAAGGTATTTTGCTCATCGCCTGCTATTTTCATCTCTCCCTGCGTGCTAAGCATCACAAAGTTAGCCCTCCTCACCCTTTGAACCTTTTAAAGAACACTTTCCTCAGGACAGTTCTATCCGATAGTGGCCCACGTCCCCAGAGCATCATTCTACGTACAGCCGGAAGATACAGGTTTAGAAAGATTAAATATGGAGTTTACCTGGTACACACAGCATAGGTTTGTTCGGATTATATTGTCACTGCGGATGGTAGTGGAATCCGAATACCTTTATCCAACATGCACAAATTGTATTTTTGCATAAATTGCTCTGGATAAGAGAGCTATATAAGAACTGTTAGATATCAGCATCTTCTGGTACCCACTGACATATAATGGCCATCCATCACATAATAAATTGGTTTAAAGGCAAGCAAATTTATAATATACAGAAAAACAGGTTGTTGGTTTTTTTGGGGGGGTGAGGGGGTTATACACTTCCTTGTTTTGGGGGGGTTTAGGTTTTAGGTTGAAAGCCTGGTGGTTATGGCTCTCAAAAAAACAACTGCATCAAGTGGTTTCTTCCTGCCCGAGATGGTTTAATATTCTGGTTTTTACCCACTGCTCATACTGGCTAGAGAAAGTGTAGGTGACACAGGCTATTACATTAAATCCTTCCACATAGAAACCCTTGAATACGGATATCTGTCATTCCAAGGGTTAATAAGAAGACAGCCCAAAGTTAATGTGGCCCAGATCAGAAATCCATTGCAATACACAGATAGTTATAGATGATACATTCCTACAGTGTTTAGAACCCAGGCTTCCTAATACCCTCAGCACAAACAGTTCCTTACCTGCTGTGTATCCAATGGGATTACTTGGTGTCTCCAGTCTTCTGGACCTCACCTCCTTGGGGACTGCTGCTGGGCTTCTTGCTGCAGCTCCTCTGTTGGAATAAACGACAGCTCCTCAGCAGTCTGCAGCTCCTTTGTACCTGGACTCCTCAGCAGGCTGCAGTTCCCTTTTGTACAGAGTACCCACCACTCCGCAGCTAGTGTCTGTCTGGAGTCCTTCGCTCTGGCTGTCAGATACTAGGGAATCATTTCTTTCAGTGAGAGTTAGGGGAAGTGCTGTTCTCTCTGTTTGTTCCACCCTTTCTATTCCAGCCCATCCCTCTCCATCAGACACAGTAATAAAGCCTAGACACTGAGAGAATGAAACTACACAGAGAAACAAAGACTTGTTGATCACAGGGCCGTCTTTAATATTAAATGGGCCCTGGGCAAACATTAGCTTGGGTCCCCTGGACCCTGTTCCCAATCACCCGCCCACTGGCATGTAATCACACCTTACACCCCATTGCAGTGACGGCACTAAAGTAGAGAGAATTTTTTGTGCCTCTTATCGCAAGGGTGGCCAAAAGGTAGATCCCCATCTGTCGTGCAGCTCCAACCATGCGTTGAGAGCTGGGGCTCTACAGTTTCCCATATTCGCAGGGTTGTATTTAGCACTGAGCAGTGTTTGTGTGTTTGAATGTAAGCATGTTTTTTGTATGGAGTATGTTTGTATGTGGTGTTGGTGTTTGAATGCAAGCATGCATTTATTAGTAGTGTTTATTTTTAATGCAAGGGTGTGTTTATATGTCGTTTTGGTGTTTAAGTATGTATTTTGTGGTTTCACTGAAGGAGTGTGCTCCAATAAAGTGTTAAAGTTTGAATGCAGGGGCGTATTTGTGTTTCGTGTTAGTGTACAGATACACGACCGCAAACATACTCTGACAGACACACAAACACCAACAGAAATACTGACAGACATATGGACACCTACACACACACACATGCTATAGTTACACTTCAGGTTCTTACATTTTTCTGGAGGGTGGTTTCCCTGGGGTCCAGTGGCAGGCTGAGGCAGCTGGGAGTTAGGCTCTGGCACTTCCAGCCTTCCCACTCTTGCACACGCTGATTTATCTGTGGGAGGAAGTAACTCACAGCAGTCACTTCCTCCCAGCCGGCTGCCTTACAGAAAGGGGCTCGGTCGCATTGTTTAAGCGGCACAGCGCCCAACCTGGCCCCTGCTGACACATGCCAACCCGGTGGGCCTCCTTCCTTTGTGTGCGAACTGGTGCGGCCCTGTGCAGCCGCACATCCGGGTCCATGGGGCTCAAAAAGATTGCGGGCAGCTGCCCCGTGTTAAAGACAGCCCTGGTTGACCATCAATAATATATTTCATTTCCACTAAAACACATAATAAAAACAGCGCTCTAACCACTCTCTGATTATATATATATATATATATATAGTATACCAAAGGATGAAATATCTCTGAAATGCGCCTACCTACGTTTTATTTAAAGATATAGAAACATAGAATGTGACAGCAGATAAGAACCATCCGGCCCATCTAGTCTGCCCAACTTTCTAAATACTTTCATTAGTACCTGGCCTTATCTTATATCTAGGATGGCCTTAAGTCTATCCTACGCATGCTTAAACTCCCTCACTGTGTTAACCTCTACCACTTCAGCTGGAAGGCTAGTCCATGCATCCACTACCCTCTCAGTAAGGTAATATTTCCTGATATTTTTAAACCTTTGCCCCAATAATCTAATTGGCTTCTTTGTGTGGTTGGTTTTTCTTCTTTTAAAAATATTCTCCTCCTTTACTGTGTTGATCCCCTTTATGTATTTAAATGTTTCTATCATATGCCCCCTCTATCATATCCCCTCGTCTCGTCTTTCCTCCAAGCTATACATTTTAAGATCCTTTAACCTTTCCTGGTAAGTTTTATCCCGCAATCCATGAACCAGTTTAGTAGCCCTTCTCCGAACTCTCTCTAATGTATCAATATCCTTCTGAAGATACGGTCTCCAGTACTGCATACAATACTCCAAGTGAGGTCTCACCAGTGTTCTGTACAATGGCATGAGCACTTCCCTCTTTCTACTGCTAATACCTTTCCCTATACAACCAAACATTGGGAGATATTTTATCTTCTGTTAAAACACAGAACAAATCTAGAAATGTCATTTTTATTTATTTATAAAACACTGGTCTATATTATAGAGTTTCACTATGTATTATAGAAAAATTGCTCCCATTATCACACAATTAAATCCCTGTAGAATTTTACATTCCTAAAAGCAAATAGTGATTTTTCACTACAGTCTAAAATGTAGTGAATTAAAATTCAAACTAAAAATAAAGGTAAATCTTAAATTGGGAAAAATTCTAAACTTCGCTGTACGAACAGCTCAGTTATTTAGGACTAGATTTTGAAATTTGGATTTAAATTCACTACACTTTAATATTTAGTAATTCAATCTTACCGTGCATAAGAATTTGGATAGTGGGTGTTATTCCCATAATCAAGCTTATTCAACCATCAGAATGACAAATCAGAATATGTTTACACCCTTGATATTCAAAATGGCATATTCATTAAACCGTGCATTACAGTGAATATAAAAAGTAAATTAAAAGGTACTAGTAAAGTCACTAAAAAAGAAAAACAAAAAAAAACCTTTAGCTTAATGAAGCCATTCTGGTGTATAGATCATGCCCCTGTAAACTCACTGCTTAATTGAGTTAAATCACATTGTTTATGCAACCCTAGACATGTGACCTGCACAGCCTTCCTAAACACTTCCTGTAAAGAGTCATCTAATGTTTACACTTCTTTTATTGCAAATTCTTTTTAATTTAGACTGTATTATCTCCTGTTCTGTTAATAGCCTGCTTGACCCTGCAGGATCCTCCTGTGTGTAATTAAATTCAATTTACAGAGCACGAAATAAATTTTTTTTAAAGGAAGCAACATATAATCAAAATTAGGGATGTGCATGGGCAAAGAATTCGGTCCAGACTTCAGCAATTCAGTTCGGCACTTCCGAAACTTGGGACCTTTAACCTTAACTATCCCATAACCCCAACCTTCCATCTAGTTTAGGGCTTTCCCTTAATTTTACCTCCCTCTCCTGTTTTGCCACTTTTCAGAAATTCGAAGCACTTTGGAAATTCGGTTCGGCACTTCAGACATTTGGAAGCATCAGAATGTCTGAATTGCCGAAATTCAGACCGAAATTAATTGCACATGTCTAATTGAAATCATTTTTTTCATACAGGTTGTGTGTCACTACCAGGGAAAATGTGGCTAGGGGTGCATAACCAGAAACAAAAGTGATTTATCTCCTAAATAACAGATAATTGAAACTTCAGAGGCATGATCTATCTACAAAAACTGATTCATTAAGCTAAAGTTGTTTTGGGGACTATAGTGTCCCTTTAAACCCTTAAAGGACCACTATAGTGAAAGGAAAACATACTCGTTTTCCTGGCACTATAGTGCCTTGAGGGTGCCTCCACCCTCAGGGTCCCCCTCCCACCGGGCTCTAGGGTGAGGAAGAGGTTAAACTTACCTCTTTCTCCAGCGCCAGGCGGGGAGCTCTCCTCCTTGGCTGATTGCGCATGCGCGGCAAGAACCTTGCGTGCATTCATCCAGTCTCATAGGAAAGCATTCACAATGCTTTCCTATGGACGCTGGCGTCTTCTCACTGTGAAAATCACAGTGAGAAGCACGCAAGCGCCTCTAGCGGCTGTCAATGAGACAGCCACTAGAGGCTGGATTAACCCTAATATAAACATAGCAGTTTCTCTGATACTATGTTTATAGAAAAAAGGGTTAACCCTAGCTGGATCTGGCACCACTTCATTAAGCTGAAGTTGTCTGGATGTCTATAGTGTTCCTTTAAGGACACATGACATGTGTGACATGTCATGATTCCCTTTTATTCCAGAAGTTTGGTCCTTAAGGGGTTAAACAATTTAGGTTAAAAGATCAAAGCTGTGACTATAGCAAACGTGGACATAATTCAAAAATCAGTTTTGTTTTAAATTCACTTTTTTTATGAATAAATCGAAAAAGGTTATATGTTACTGTAAACCTTTAGATCAATTGCTTAATTGATTCTACAAGCAGAAGTGTTCGTGGTGGCTGGAGTAACCCAATCAAGCTTAGCGGTTTCTATGTGTTTAAAAGTTCTTCAATGTAACGGCTAATAAATGTCAGTGAAAACGACTTCAATGTAAAGGCTAATAAATGTCAGTGAATGACACTTGGTAACTGTAGAACTATTGACATTACACACACACGCTGTTACAGTTAATAACAGAAGGAAATGGCTTACCATTTAGAATGAGCTTTATAGCAGGAAGCAGACCACTTTACTACAGAAAACACGATCGACGATACTTTGTTTAGGCTGTAAAATGATGTCCAGCAGATCGCCCAGAAGCACAGATCTCCCTCCTGTTGCTGATCATCAAGTAAGGTGTTTGAGAATACATTAATATACTATAGTTTCCAGTCACACATACTAACCATACAACCCTGCTCCACAATTACTATACACATATATATATTTATTTATTTTGGACACAATAACTTAGAGGTTTTAACTTAACTGCAATCCAGCATTGGGCAAAGCTCCCGGCACTAACTTGCAAGCCCCATGCTCATGTCACAGAGGCATTGCGCGGTCCAATCACTGGCTTCTCATAGAAAAGTCTTAAAAACAGAGAGCACACACTGCCTGCAAGAGGAAAGATTTTTACGTTTGTCAGCATCATGCCGTACGCGTCGACGACAGACATAAAATACCCACAGAATTGACATTAGCCAGCCTCCAAAAAAGTTCTGGGCTGTGTCACGTGTGTCGGGGGTGTAACTACCCCTGCGCACAACTTCCAATAGCTCAGTATGTACACTGCACATACATCCTCCTAGTACCATAATCACTGCAAATAGTCATGGTGGTTGGAGTAAACCTTCAATGACAAGGTGTCTCCTACACCTAGTTGCATAATACTAAATAAACTATTAGTAGCATTTATTTTCTATCAAGATATTCTGCAGAGCTTTCCAATTACATACTGAGGATACACAGTAACGGACAGACAAAACATTGACAGAAACAAGAGGGGATGAGGGTCCAATATTAATGAAATCTATATACACCGAAATAACGTAACCTGTAAAACTCCAAATACAGCACATGGGAATATACATTGCAAAAAAATAAAACCATTTCTCCTTTAAGAAAGTTCTCTGTTTAATAATCCTCAGGATAATGCACACTTTTTGCGCTTATTGTCTCCAGAACAGATATCTACATGAAATATTTTATATATAAAATCAGAAGAGAATGCCGCGGTTTATCTGGTAACCGCCATGCTCCAACGCCAGTTACTACCATTGACATTTTCCTATGTGATGTCCCCTCTTGGCGACCAAGGGTTTATAAGCACTAAGGCACTCTCAGAATAAGATAGAAATGTCACAGAGAGGGGCAGAATTTGGTGAAGAGCTGCACAATAGTTACAGAAATTACAAAATATAAATATTTCATAGAACACAGTTGGAATTGCAGTCATTTCTCACCAGCACGCAGGAGGCAGTACATTAGCTAGTGTGTGGCCAAAAGTGAAGGTGTTTATACAAAACATTAAATATCCAAAGATAAGTCCAGCTTGCAGGGACGGAACCCATTCACAGTTCACGGTTTAAGTGAATAACTACTTTAATTTCTAATAGCAGTTAAACTACAGCCAAAGGACTGTAGCGAAACCAGAGCAAGTTTAAATTAACTACAACTGAATATCAATAAGAGCCATTGTCCAATGTTACGATTGTTCCAAGGTTCATTCTTTAGCCGCAATTTTATACAATGCAACAAAACACAGTATTCGACAGTCACAAGGTCTCCATGTGCTGGGCAACTCAGTGACACTGCAGCAAACAGAACATTTCAGGAAGAAATGAAAAATAAATGAATACATTTGAACACTTCATATGTTTGTAATAATGGACTTTACGCTCCCAACCCTCAAACTTTTTATGCAAAAAGGAGTTTGTGTAATAAGCCTGTATCAGGAGTCCTGCACCAGTTGTAAGTCAATTTACAAAGATATATAATAAACAAGTAAGACACGTTCAGATGTACACTGGGAAATGCCCTGTTAAAAAGCACAAAGAAAGATTGTGTCAGTACAAATATGTTCTTAACACTACATGATAGTGGTGCCTTAAAAAAAATGGTTTAGCACTTATTAGTTGGATAAACGCTGCAGTGAGATTTTTACTAGGCATCCCCTTCTTACATCCAATATAGTATGTCCTACATCTCCATGTTTCAGGGTTAAATCAAACAGTTAAACATGTCAAAGTCCCATCCAGAGAGAGGACAGAAAAAGCTTTTCCAGGTAGTGTGGGTCTGAGGGGATAGGGCTACACAAATGTGAAAGGAGTGGTGGTGAAGATGCAGATTTGCATCTTGATGGAATGGTCAGAATCCATATCAGGCTATGGTAAATGCTTGTTTCCTTAGAAAATAAAGAACAGTTGAGCATTTGTAAACGTACAGAAGAATTCATGTGAATGGGGTTCTTGATAAATAATTTCAGACTAATTCCACATTCTCCCCTCCCCCCAAACACTAGCTGAAAAATCCATTTTACATTTTTGCTAACTTTTCATCTTGTTATTAGACCTCAGAATAATTTTTGCAAAGTCTTCTAAGAAATTATCTTAGGTAAGTTGAAACCTCTAGCTCATTAAGCATGCCATCAAGAATACAGTTTTGCAACATGTATGTATTAAGAAATGCAAGTATTAATTTAAAAGAATGCATATTAAACATGATATTATCCCGGGGCATATTACAATACAGCAGTGTTACAAACTGTCACAAGATATCATGCCTTCTGGGTCTCCTGACTGCACAGTATGCGCCATAAGTGATGAACGGGCTAGAAAGACTTCTCACCATCAATTCAAACAAACCCTTCCTAATTCATTAATGGCTAGTTTTGGAAGATATATTAAAGTTGCATTTCCTCTAAATTTCAACAAGATTTTTCAAAAAGAAATTAAACCTAGATGCATATCCAACATGCCGACAAAATTTATTACAAATGTTTTTTCTCTCTAAAAATATCACAGGTTGTCCTCAAATCTATCTTTGTTTTAGGCAATATGGAAGCCTGTGTGCTTTATTGCACATAAGGACAATTCTTAACAGCCCTTTACGCCTTACAAATAAAATAAAAAACTTATTTGAAGAAGTGATTTTGTGCAAATTCATTCCATTTTTGACAATAATTTTGTCCCCTCCTTCACGTGCGCAGGCCGCCCAACATGAGAGAGGTACGTGCACCTATGTACGTGTATATACACCTCGGGACATATTTGCCTGTATGAAAAATACACACGCATCCAAATATATTTATGTAGTAACGATTACATCAACAGTCCCATAGAGCTTGTGTTCTCTCTGGAACACGAACGCGGGGGCACATGCGTCTTAACGGTCTGGCTGCTGCACGCAGAAAACCTTCGCCTTGTGGTCTCCAGATGCCGTCACTACAGTAGTAGCCTCTCTGCATAGGAAAAAAAAAAGATTTGTTTTGTATAAAGTAGTAATGATTTCTCCTAAACCAAAGAAACTATTTCGTATAAAAGCGAGTTCCATAAGTGCTGACTTACTGAAACAATTTGTGTGCATTTGTTTTTTACTGGACTTAGAATGGCAGATAGTCGCTCAAAGCATTTCTAGACAAAACTGCGTACACATTGAGTTAGCCAAAAATAAATATGACTAACTGGTTATTTAGTTATTAATACTCAAATAAAAATATTCGATATACCGTGGATTCTGAATTGGTTGCTGAAAGAGCTGACAAATTCTTTATAGTTTTAAAAGTAACTTTAAAACAGTCACGTTTGAAGTGATAAATTACAGCTAAACTCATTGTTATTGAGTTAGAAATTATCGTGAAGATGAATACTTACTTGTTAAGTGCAAAGTCAAGAATCTCAGCTGTGTGGCCACAATATTCACTAATCATTTTTCCTGACCTCGAATCCCAAAGTCTGACAGCTCCATCCAAGCTGCATGTATAGACCACTGGTGAATTGTCTTCCCATAGGAGTCGCACAATTCCAGACTACAAAGAGAACAAGGGAGAACATTAGAGACATGCTCTCAATACATATAACGCAAGGTTTGAAGAGGTGGGAGCGATAAGTTCAGTTTTAAAATTTTCAGGCGGTGGGGAACAATCTAAATCACAAGTTTAAGGCATATCTTCAATTAATTTTTTTTTATCTTTTTGCATATGCAGATTTAAACAAATTCTGGGTTCTAGGACTCAAGATTGTGCCTACTTAGTCTGTAGGAGTTCACTCACTTCGTGCTGACACCGATGTCGAAGAGTTTGAGTGGAGATATCATAAATAGCCAATGTACCATCTAAATAACCAACAGCCGCCAGTGGAAGCCTGCATAAAGGGAGCACGGATTAAAGCAAAGTGTCTGCATCAGCTCTGCATTCATTAATGTCATCATGGAGAGGTATTGGCCACCATGACAAAACCTGATTAAGTGTTTTGCAAATAAACACAAACATTAAAAGGGATAAGCCTCGTGACATCTAAGCAGTAGTTACACTGGTTGGGTGCAAATTCATGGAAAAAACAGGCCGGTGTTAATGAATCTATGCTTTAAAAAAAAATGGAACAAAAAAAAATTAAAAAAAATTGAACCATTGTTTTTCTATAAGTCTTTACATTCCAAATGTAATGGTTTATACAAAATGATGCACACGGATTAGTTTACTGCAAGATTTCACATGTAATAGTTCATACGAAGTGATGCACACGGATTAGTTTACTGCAAGATTTCACGTGTAATAGTTCATACAAAGTGATGCACACGGATTAGTTTACTGCATGCTTTCACATGTAATAGTTCATACAAAGTGATGCACACAGATTAGTTTACTGCAAGATTTCACTTGCAATGTGACCTACTTACACGTTACAGAATCCCACTGATTCCACTGAGTTAGTCTCTGCTTCACCTTCCTCACGCTTGGATGCTTTTGATACATTACTTTCTGTCCTGAATACACCAACAACCTGAAGGTAGTCAGAATGAGAGACACAAATAAACTAGTTTTATCAATGAGCCAAATGTCAGGTAACCTGACATTAATAGCAGTCTATGAGATACTGGAGGGTGGAGCGGACACTAATAAATTGATATAAACAGCACTGTTACAAACGGGCGCTATATAAATGGCAATAATAACAATATGTGCAGGTTCTGGATAAACAAGCATTTAGTACAAATTAAATCATCTCTGAACCAAAGAGAGATTGTTACAGTCTCCGTGCATCTGACCTATGTAAGCTATTAATGATAAATATAAGAATTGTATTTTTAGAATCAGTGTGATTACAGATCAATGGCTCCCTCTGATGGTTCCTGGTCCACACAGCATTTGATTACACCACTTAAGGAGCAACCAGAACTTCCAAGGATTTAGAATTTCATGTTTACTTATCCCTTATTTAACTAATATCTGTGAGGTGTAAAAAAATATAAATGTAGTTATCCCCGTCTTTTAATTCTGACACTGCACCTCCATCTTGGCCTCTGTCAGTCATTGTTATAAGCTCTGCCCTGTGTACATTGCAGTTCGCATAGAGAGAGCCACCTCCATCTTAGCCTCTTTCAGTCATTGTTATAAGCTCTGCCCTGTGCACATTGCAGTTCGCATAGAGAGAGCGTACAGAGATGAGGAGAAGATGTATCTATTTCTTCTCTTCATTGGAATTGTTGTCTTGTCTCAACTGAATTGTAATGCCATTTGTAAAGCCTTCAATATAAATAAAAAACATGGACTCATGGAAAAAAGGTTAACACAAACTGTATTTAATGTTGTATACTCCAGAAAAGCGACAGTTCGAATTTAAAAGAAGCCATGCCCAAATAACTCAGCAGATCCCATTTTAAACTGCAAATGATTAAGGAGAGATATATATGTCCACATATTAAAAATGGTACTGTCACATCTGACATTTATAATTTAAAAGGTATTCGCCTATACCTTTACATTAAAAATAAAACAGATTGAATCGTGTAATTTGCATTGTGTGCTTGAATTTGAAGTGAATTTTACCCAGCAGGTGCGATAAACGTGGGAGCATGAATTCTAGGCAGTACTATGGAAGAAATCCATGGGCACATTTCTCATCAGATGCCCGCGTGCTTGTGAAACGGTAACTTTGCTCTGAGCTCTGAAGTGATGAGGAGGTAAGTGTGTTTCATGTAAGTGTGTTTTCACTGTGAAAACATTCACCTAGCGTGGAACTGGATATCAGGTCAAATACTTAGCACAATGTATAGATTCGATGTGCAGAGTAAAAACAGGTCCTGTCCCAGCATACAGGATTTTTGCAATTACAATTTCTAATTCAAATGAGACTCCTTGAACTATAATATAACAAGAAAAGTTGGCCAGAGGGATTATCCAAAAATCGAAGGAACAGATAAGGGGGTAACCCTAAGATAGTGAGACAAAGTAGTAGAGGAAAATCTGTCCCTATAATAAAAACCTCAAAGATATTTATTTATACAAATAAGGGTGGTGCATACATCTAAATATAACCGTCTAGCTCAGACACAGAAAATGGTATGGGGAGCATACACACAGAAAAAAGGAGGGGGAGAAAGGAGTAAATACAAAACAGATACGAAGAAAAATAATAATTGACATAAATCCAGATAGGTGATCTGGAGCAAAGCTGATAACAGCAATCCCCAAGGTCACGATATACTAAAAACCAAAATAACAAGCGAAGCTATTAAAGACAGTATAGTAGAATCAGATACGGCAGTATAGGAAGAAAACTGTAAAATATGCAGATAGCTGACTCAACATCCTCAGCTTGCTACAATTCTTTACAAAAAATGTATCATTAGGTAAATACAATGTATACAGTAGTGATTCGTAACAATTCAGAGGCTTTAACAGGTGGCACTATGGAGCCAGTGTACTCCGTCAATTGAAAGCCTGAACTCTAGTCCAGTATGGACACAGCTGACTAGATAGTGTGTGAATCATACAAAACAGTGGAGCATGTAGCACTGCACGATCCAAATAGATCGCGATCAGTGCGGTCGCTAGATGTCCAACCAAACTTACTAAATAGTAAATTTGTAAGATACCTAGATAGATAGATGGTAAGATCAGATAGGGATAGTGCCTTTATGGACACTAGTAACAGTAAAGTACAAAGAAGGTAAAGATTGATGGAGCAAAAAGATCAAAAATTACTGTTAATAAGATGTAGTGGCAATATAGCTAAGCTTTCGGTAGTACCCTGATCGGTATTTTGCTTCCCAATAATTAGAAGTGGACTCATCATCAGCCAAGTTCAACGGTTACCAAAAATAAATCACTAGGTTATCGTGAAATAAACGGTCCAAACCGCAGCACAAATGCCGTGGAGGAGAGAGAGATGCAGACAGTAATATCAGGACTGATTAATATGTTACTTCCCGCTAACTAAAATGGCTAGCATGGTTAGTCTAATCCTGGAAGTACCCAAAAGGGTCATTGGGCTATTGAAGGATGGCAAATCTAGACCACAGCAAATAGAGAGAAAAAGGATGCAAACGTAGATGTAGAGGAGATGTCAGAACGGAGTCAGAACCTGACGCGCCTGGTTTAAAGGCTCGTCAGGGGGATTATTTTGGTTTTTATTATATTGTGACCTTGGAGATTGCGGTTATCAGCTTTGTCAATTATTATTTTTCTTGTGTCTGTTTTGTATTTACTCCCCCCCACCTCCTTTTTTCTGTGTGTATGCTCCCCATACCATTTTCTCTGTCTGAGCTAGACAGTTATATTTGGATGTATGCACCACCCTTATTTGTATAAATAAAGTATCTTCGAGATTTTTATTATAGGGACAGATTTTCGTCTACTTCTTTGTCCTTGAACTATAAGACTCACTTTTCCAGTTGCTGTGTTCACCATTTTCGTGTCACAATCAACAGAGCCTGTTAAGACCAGACTTCCGTCTGCATTCGATGAAACACATGTCAAAGGACCATTATGGCCATCACTACCTGAAATAAAATAAAAACGATCAGACCAAGAGATTAAACAGCATTTGGGGGCTTTGAATTAAGGATAGAGAAAGAGTAAGATTATATATGTATTATAAATATATGTGGTAGGCAAAATATTTGGGGCAAAAAAAAAGTTTTATATAAAAGTATTTTTTTAGCTTGAAAAAGTATTTTTTTTTTTTATTTAAAATTCTTACAAAAAGGCACCAAGGTAACCTTGGAAAGTGTCCCCTTCTTGCCAATAGCCACTCAGGCAACCCCAGAAAGTGGCCCTTGCATGCCAATAGATGCACAGGCTCTATAGGAAAATGACAACTGCTCACCATTAAACACACTTTTATTCCAGTAAACCCTGTTTACGAATAGGTGTCTAAGCATCCCAGGAAAGTGTCACTTAACTGCCAATAGCCACCTAGGAACCTTGAAGGAAAGTGGCCCCTGCTCGCCAATATGCTCCCAGGCAACCACTGGCATGTGCAAATGGTTTGCCTGAAATTACATATATATAAACTTTTCCCCATGTTAGTCAACAGCCAAGAGTACAAATGTGCACAGTTCGGTTTTATCAGGAATTTACTGTGATGTTCTCCTAAAAAAATACTAATAAAATATAATAGTAAACGGCAAAAACTGCTATGCTTACAGTTCCCCCCTTAGTGAATAACCATGAAAGCATCTTATTGTGCCAAGAGGACGCAGCGATGTAGAAAGATTTGTGCAGAGAGCTTCACCTTTAACAACATGGACAGTGCTTCCCTGTTTCAGATCCCAAATTCGCACACTGCCATCTTCATAACCAACGACGGCTTTCTTTCCTATACACCGAGAAAGAAACGCCATCACATTACTTATTAGGGTTATTCATGTTATTTATGGTCTTCTACACCAGATGATGTACTAATGACACCGAGCTAAATGGAAATTATTTCAGTCTACCTTTAACACAAAAATACAAATGTTGATTTTTTGAGATGCACTGTCACTTGTGGGGGATAGGGATTTATTGGGGGAGTAGATCGGCAGGGGCAAAGGTAAGGATCTGCCTGTTAATTCTACTGCCGGTCAAGCTTCTAGCGGCACTGATAAGAGCTACATTAATAATGTACTATCACACGTGCAAAATGGGGGTCTAGGCAAGGTCAGTAGAGATGCATGTTAACTTCAGCCGACATTGCAACTGACTGCTGATGGGAAACAGCAGGATGAAGTGGAGGAACTTCTGCCCATTGCCACATTGGGCAAAAACCTGGGTCACTTGTACGACAAAGAAGCCCCTATCTTGCATAAAGGGTTTCTCCAACCAATAACAGTGCTTTCAAAGAAATTACACCACCATCCACATGGGTTTTTCAAAATAATCTGTCTATCACTGCAAAGTACAGATTAAGGGACAGCGTACACAGAAAAATACATTTTTAAATTTACAAGGTCCAGAGGTGACCACAGAAAAGTATGAATTTGAGGAGGTTATTGATAGTAATATCACGTTAATTATAAATTTTCACAGAGCAGATACATTATATGCATTTTCAGTATATACATCAAAGCACTATCACTTTAATCGTTTCGTTTTGACACTGAATTTTATGTTTAATTATATAACATTAATGTTACACAATCCTCTTACAACAGATTATTAAAATACACTTTGATTTATTTAGGACTAGGAGTATTTAATTTGTCTCCCACATTGGAATTCAAATAGAGCCCACCGATATTGGGGTGTGCTGAGATAGGAGATTTTAAGTAGCCTTGTAAAAGTTAAAAATTTATTTTTAGGTGTGCGCTGTAACTTAATCTGTATTAATGGATACATTTTTGTGACTATGGCAGCACCATTCCTGCAAAATGCATGTTCTGGGTGTGCCCCCAATTCCCTTCTTGCGTTTACTAGCACGCTTACCAGTTTGCTGGCCAAGATTTAGGGATTTAGGAAGCATTAAATCACTGGAAGACTAATTCACAAACTGAGCTCTAAAGGAATTTTATCCATTCAACACTTTAACATACAGAGAAAAACAGTAAGCAGGACACTCGGACCTTATAATTACTTTCACAAACTCCAACAACACTACAACCAGAGGAATGTTCATGTTTCACCCCATACATACTACCTAACTAAAAAAATAAAATATATATATATATATATACAACCATCAGGCAGGAACTGTCCACAGGTGACTGGGCAGTTGGAGCCCTGGAAGGTCTTGCATTCTCCACTTGGTATTTTCCACATCCAGGTGTTTCCATCAGCAGTGCCTGCCAACAATACAGGGGCACCAGGGTGCCACTCCAGCCACTGTCAGTGAAGGAAAGAGTAAAACATTAATAACAGGAAAGAAAGACGCACAGCGAAAAGGTAACAAACATACAAAATACAGTGAGATGGACACAAAAACCATCACAAAACCAGAAATTGCATGAAAAAATACACTTTGTAAACACTGCAGGGAAAGCAATAGATGGCAAGCTATCTTTTGTGGACTACATTTCCCGCATACTCAGTCAGCCAATGGGCAAGCTAACAAAGACAATTTGGAGCAACCTCTGACAATTCAGCTGTCGTGGACTACATACGTTGAGCATCAGAGTGCCACAGGTCACCCATTAACAGCACAGGCAGTCAGATTAAGAAAAGTAAAATCTAGAGAATAATAAAATAGGCACTAGAAAGGAAATGGTGCCACCAAAAATAGGAAAGATTTAACATTCACTGAATGCAAATTAGGTTTTACTAAATTCCTAGGAGACATTCCAATGTCATTAACTTATAACCAAAGCCAAGTTAACCTTTTCATAGCAAGTGTACATTTACAGAATATTACCACTCGTAAGATAACAGATCATGATACATTTTGGGCTACAGCGGTGTACACCCTAAACTTTACAGGCATTGACAATACTGTGGATTGTAACTCCTATTACTCTCGCCATTAGTCTGGAACTGAATAATAGAAGAGGACCATTGTGTCATCACTTAGCATTTGGAATCCATCATGTTACTGGCAGTGTTTTTAACAGATATCTTGAATTATTTGAATTAGGACTATTGTGCATCTAATGCCATTCCAAGTCACTGGAAAAGCAGTCATTTGCACAAAAATTAACATTCATTTTCTTTTCTTACCTCTAAGTCACCAACTTCAAAAGACCATATCTCTTCCCCACCTTGCACTTTCCACGCCTTGAGGAGGCCACCCATGTCCCCAGTGGCCACCATGCTGGAATCGTGGCTAAAACAGGCACAGGTAACAGAATCCTTGTGACCTGGGGAGGGGAGGCAGATAATGTGAATTAAAGGAAATAGTCATATGATATTGCCAGAGCAGTTGCATCATTCCAATAGCTACAGGGGGAAGGCCCCTGGATCACTGATATTAATATTTGATAATCCATTAACAGAACCTTTTACAAGGAGAGATTTACAACAACAAAAAGTTATACAGTTATTCCCTAAAGTGAGAATAGACAGGAATTCAAAGTTAATTTAAAATTTAAGGCCAAAGTATAAGAAATTTAATTTAATCCTTAAATTTTAAATTCCTTTGAATTTCAGACAATTTTCAGTTTAGTATGTAACTCTAGCAAGTGATAACAATTTAGTATGTTATAGTATGTAATGAGTACATTTACCTGTACACTCAAACAGTGTTTCCCCATCACAGATCCTCCAAACATAAGCTTTATCATCCTCTCCCCCCGTCACAGCGAGGATACTCTCCTTAGGATCAAGGCTCACACAGAAGACTGAGGCTGAGGGAATAACACACACTAAGAGTCAAAACAATTACACAGCTTAGAACCACACAAGGATGTAGGAGACTACCAGACCACAATAATAACCACATCATAAACAGTTACTTCCTGCTCATTCAATGTACAATACTTTACACCTGTGTGCTCACTATATGCCATAACCAGATTATTGTAGCTGTATAAACATACAGACTTTGTATAACAATGCTTCCAAGTAATGCACTAAATAGAACACATATGTAAACAATTATTATTATTGCCATTTATATAGCGCCAACAGATTCCGTAGCGCTTTAAACAATAAATGTCTTTAACCCCTTAAGGACCAAACTTCTGGAATAAAAGGGAATCATGACATGTCACACATGGCATGTGTGCTTAAGGAGTTAAAGGGCTGTATTAGGGGTATATGCAGGTTAGGTGTTCTCTCAAAACTTTCATTGCAGGGATTTCAATTGATTCAATACTCTAAGAGTATTTTATTTATTTATTTTAAATCTCTCCCCTCTCTCATATCTTTATATTGCAACACACTTCTGAACCCACTGCAATGAAAGTTTGAAGGGACAACTAACCTGTATATACCCCTAATAAAGGCCTTAACCCCTTAAGGACGCTGCTTCAAAAACTGGACTTACCCTTAAGGACATAAGCATGTTTTGCTGTTTGTGTTCAAACGCAATTTGCATCTCTGTCATTTATTGCACCAACACATATTACCGTATTTTTAAGTGTTGAAAGATTTAACATTCACTGAATGCAACTGAGGTTTTACAGATGTCTTGAGACATTCCAATGTCATTAACGTTTTGGGCTACAGCGGTGTACACCCTAAACTTTACAGGCATTGCAAATATTGTGGATTGTAACTCCTATTACTCTCGCCATTAGTCTGGAACTGAATAACGGAAGGGGACCATTGTGTCATCACTCAACATTTGAAATCCATCATGGTACTGGCAGTGTTTTAAATAGTGTTGAAAGATTTAACATTCACTGAATGCAATAACACTTAAATTTCAGTTTCTGGATGGAATGAAAGGAAGTGCGCACTCAGTGTGCACACTTCCTTTCAGTCCGGCTGGGTACTGGAAACGGAAATTTAAGATCCTGTACCGCGGTGCGCGCTGTTCTGCCGGTCCACGCAACAATACACATAAGTAACTAAGGGACACTATGGGAGGGAAAGATCACTATAGGACAAGAGGAGGGGGAGACACTATGGGATGAGGGGAGTGGGGGAGAACACTATTGGACAAGGAGGGGGAGAACACCATTGGATGGGGAGAACACTATGGGATTAGGGGAGGAGAACACTATTGGACAAAGGAGAGGGGGGAGAACACTATTGGATAAGGGGAGGGGGGGGTTAAAGAACACTATGGGACAGGGGGGGGTTAAAAATCACTCATGGACAGGGGGGGGTTAAAGTGGGGGTAAAGGACACACTATGGGACAGGGGAGGGAGGGTTAAAAATCACTATGGGACAGGGGAGGGTTAGGGACAGGGGAGGACAGGAGGGAGATCACTGTTGGACTAGGAGGACAGGACAGGAGGGTTCAGGAGGTCACTATGTCAGATGGGACAGGGACAGGAGGGGTTAAAGATCATGGGACAGGGGAGAGGGGGTTAAAGATCACTATGGGACAGGGGAGGGGGGGTTAAAGATCATGATGGGACAGGGGAGGGGAGGTTAAAAATCACTACAGGACAGGGGAGGGGTTAAAGATCACTATGGGACAGGGGAGGGGAGTGGGTGGTAAGGAACATTATGGGACAGGGGAGAGGGGTGTTAAGAAACACTATGGGACAGGGTGTTAAGAAACACTATGGGACAGTGTGTTCAGAATATTTTTTCATCGCGACCACATGGCCCAGGAGGGATGAATCAGCTGCAGGGGAACTCTCTAGGATGCCAGGTAAGATCCCCCCATTGCGATGGTTTAGGACCGGGTTCCCAAGGACGGCATTGGACCCCCACTGTCTTTGAGGGATTAATTATTTTTTGTTTTGTGTGTGTGCACACTTGTATTTATAAAAATTGTACCTGTATGTTTGGAGAAAGTCAGCTCACTATCATCATGAGGCTCGGCACCTTCCTCTACACCCTCATCCTCAGTTTCCCATTCCTCATCAGCCATTTCTCCTGCCTCTGGCTCATCAGCAAAATCTACATCCTCCATGTCACTTGCGAGATCATCTGCGAGAAGGAAAAACGTGGATCAGTAATGGTAGAGCGGAACACTCATAATCTCAGTAACGTCATGTCACAGAAGAACACATTTAGTTTTAACATGAAACTGCTCAAGAACACATGACATGGTGGTACTCTATAGCACATTCAATTCTATTTATACATTATAGATGCAATCCAAGATAGAGATGCAAACTTCAAATTTATCATCTGATTCTCAGATTGCCGATGCACTAATAAGATTGTGGTCACAATGTGGCCGGGCTGCCCAATATCAATCCTGTGCAAAAATTACGTCTGTCGTCAGTATGCTGGCGACAAATGGGATGAGCTTTTTTTTTTTTTTAAATACACGTACTTAAGAAAAGAAAGTGCTCAAAAAAGAAAAATACCGTTGTCGCTTACTCAACAGGTACTACCGTATATTAAGTTTAAGTAAATACGCTTTTCTCTTGATTGTATTCACTATTGAATTTGTCAATATACGAGACAAGATGAATGGTAAATGAATTTTCAACATTCAAATAAAATGTAAACATGTTCAAGTTAAAGAGAAAAAAAAAAAAAAAAGAAAATTCCCAACTGCAGGTATAGTCCAGTTAGTAGAGAGTGTGGAGTAAAGACTTGTTTATCTCATGGATCCTGGGTTGGAATTACCCAGTGGAAGTACCTTGAGCATCAATATCTCCTTTGTTCCCTTAAGCATACATACACAGTTCAAATCAGCCTCACACATTTTCTCTTATATTATTATTTCACTTCCTGTTTTTCCCCTCCACGTGATTATTGAAATAGAGCTTGTGTTAGAGGGTATTGCCCAGAAGAAACATTTATGTACAAAGTGTTTCATCATTAATCATCATTAATAGGAATTTGTAACAGGAGGTTGGTTTCTTGGAAGAGGAGGCTGTCATTATTATTATCGGTATTTATATAGCGACAACTTATTCCGCAGCACTTTGCATTATTATAAAAAAGGAGGAAATGTATCAATAAATTTGACAATTTCAAAATGTAACAGAAACAATAGGTTGATGAGGACCCTGCTCAAACAAGCTTACAGTCTACAGGAGCTGGGGTATAGTAAGACAATAGAAAGGACAGAATAAGGAAACGCAACTAAACAACAAGGTGGGAAAGAGTGGAGTGTGATCCTTTAAGAGTTTATAAAGTAGATAAAGCTACTCTGGGAAGCCAATAGTTTTTCTAAAGAGATAGGTTTTGAGGGACTTTCTAAATGACGGACGACTAGGGAAGATTCTGATGGGGGTAGACAGGCTGTTTCAAAGAAAAGGAGTCCCCCCTCGCCCCCTGTGGGAAGTCCTGCAAACACAAGTTAGCAGTAATGGTGCGAGCAGCAGACATGGCAGAGCGGAGAGACCAAGACTGGTTATATAGCCAAAGGTTAGCATTTTCGACAGTGGGGCAAGGTGTGAGAGGAGCGACAGGAGAGAAGAATCCGCCTCGCGGCAGTATTCATTACAGATTGTAGCGAAGCAGTACGGCTTTTTGAGAGACCGATTAGGAGTGCATTACAGTAATCAATACAAGACATTACTTGAGCATGAACAAGATCCTTAGCAGCATCTTACATAAGAAAGGGGCAGACGTGGGCAATGTTTAAAGGGACACTATTGTCACCAACACAACTTTGGATTAATAAAGCAGTTTTGGTGTATAGAACATGCCCCTGCAGCCTCACTGCTCAATTCTCTGTCATTTAGGAGTCAAATCCATTTGTTTATGAACCCTAGTCACAACTCCCTGCACTTGACTTGCACAGCCTTCCTAAATACTTCCTGTAAAAAGTCATCTAAAGTTTATCCTTCCTTTATTGCAAGTTCTGTTTAAGTTAGGTTTTCTTATCCGCTGCTATGTTAATAGCTTGCTAGACCCTGCAAGAGCCTCCTGTATGTGATTAAAGTTTCATTTACAGAGAAAGAGATACAATTGTTTAAGGTAAATTACATCTGATTGAAAGCGAAACCAGTTTTTTTTTTTCCATGTAGGCTCTGTCAACCAGAGCCAGTGGAGGTGTGTCAAGGTCCGCATAAACAGAAACAAAGTGATTTAACTCCTAAATGCCAGAGAATTAAGCAGTAAAACCTGAGAGGCATTATATATACACTAAAACTGCTTAATTAAGCTAAAGTTGTTTAGGTGACTATAGTGTTCCTTTAAGGTGAAATCGGCAGGATGTGGCAATAGACTGGACGTGAGGCCAGAATCAAAGATAACACCCAAACAGCTATCTTGCAAGGATGTGCTGATGCAGGTACCATCAACTTGCAGAGAGTGTGAAAGAGATTAATATTATGAGGAGGAAAATTAAGCTCAGTTTTAGAGAGACAGAGTTTCATTAAGCACGAGGACATCCAATCGGGGATGGAAGAAAGGCAACCGGTGATGCATTCGAGGACAGCAGAGATAGATCTGGGTTTTATTTATAAAGAAGGAGGACATGACAAAAGTGATAAAGGCAGTAGAGAGGTCAAAAAAAGTAAGTATACAATCGTGGCTTTTGCATTTAGCAGCGATTAGATCATTGCTTTGCCCATCTATTTTTTCACACAGTACAGGACAACAAACCCTGATTCCACTGTTACCTGGGTCAGGTTCTGCATCATTGAGTTCCAGCACCTCTATAATTTCTTCATCCTCGTGAAACTCTACAGCCGGAGCTGGTGCCTCTTGTGGCTCCGGACTGGCTGAGCCAGACCCTCCACCAGCCCCAGCTCCTTCCATCGAATTACGGCTACTGGGACACAGAGTGGCGGAATGAACTGTACAAACGAGAAGAAGAAAACAGTCAGAAACACAAAGAACTCAGAGAGCTATTTACCAAACCGAGAACTTTGGACTAAAATGTGTGATTATCCATAACATCTCAAATGGAAAACACTTGGCTTAAAATTAACAATTCTCTTGCAGGTTATGTGCAATGCGTTGGCTAGTGAATAACCATATGAAAAGTAAAATAACACAGAAAATATTAGACTCAGTGGGAGTGTAAGCTATAAAATCTCCATTTATCAGTACATTTTCTAGAGCTGCAACTTAATATTGAATATTAATTCCATAAATTTGCATTATAGGCAAAAAGAGATTAAGGCACAGACAGAATTATCTTCAAGGCCACACGGTCTGCCTGTCACAGATAACTATGAACTCAGAAGGAAGCAATGTCACTAAGGCGAATATTTTATCAAAGATCAGTGGGGTACCTCAGGGATCTGTACTTGGACCCATTCTCTTTAATGTTTTTATTAGTGATATTGCAGAAGGTCTTGATGGTAAGGTATGTCTTTTTGCTAATGATACTAAGATTTGTAACAGTTTTGATGTTCCAGGAGAGATAAGCCAAATGGCAAATGATTAAGGTAAACTAGAAAAATGGTCAGAGTTGGAGCAACTGACATTTAATGTTGATAAGTGCAAGATAATGCATCTTGGACGTAAAAACCCAAGGGCAGAGGACAGAATATTTGATATTATTTGATTCCTAATCTCAATATCTGAGGAAAAGGATTTAGGGGTAATTATTTCTGATGATTTAAAGGAACACTCCAGTCACACAGACCACTTCTGCCCATTGGAGTGGTCTGGGTGCCATCTCCCACTACGCTTAAGTTTTTTTATAAACTGCAATAATTACCTTAAAGGGTTAACTCCACCTCTAGTGGCTGTCTACTAGACAGCCACTAGAGGGCACTTCCAGCTCTATAGCACAGAAAACCTGTGCTAGAGCGTCGCTGGACGTCCTCACGCTGTGTGAGGACCTCCAGCTTCGCTCATTTCCCCATAGGAAAGCATTGAAAATCATTTTCAATGCTTTCCTATGGGGAGCTCTAATACGCATGCGCATTAGGTCTCCAGGGCCGGTGGGCAGGATCAGTCTCACCCACCGGCCGACGCAATCACTGGGAGGAGCGGCGGCGGAAGAAGCAGCGACGTGGGACATCGTCGCTGCCTCTGGTAAGTAACTGAAGGGGTTTTCACCACTTCAGCAAACGGGGATTGGGGGGTGGGAAGGAGAGGGGACCTGCAGTGCCAGGAAAACGGATTGTTTTCCTCGCACTGGAGTTTCCCTTTAAAAGGTAGGCAGACAATGTAATAGAGCAGCAGGAAACGCTAGCAGAATGCTTGGTTGTAAAGGGAGAGGTATTAGCAGTAGAAAGAGGGAAGTGCTCATGCCATTGTACAGAACACTGGTGAGACCTCACTTGGAGTATTTTACACAGTACTGGAGACCGTATCTTCAGAAGGATATTGATACTTTAGAGAGAGTTCAGAGAAGGGCTACTAAACTAGTTCATGGATTGCAGGATAAAACTTACAAGGAAAGGATCTTAACATGTATAGCTTGGAGGAAAGACGAGACAGGGGGGATATGATAGAAACATTTAAATACATAAAAGGAATCAACACAGTAAAGGAGGAGACCATATTTAAAAGAAGAAAAACTACCACAACAAGGACATAGTCTTAAATTAGAGGGGCAAAGGTTTAAAAGTAATATCAGGAAGTATTACTTTACTGAGAGGGTAGTGGATGCATGGAATAGCCTTCCAGCTGAAGTGGTAGAGGTTAATACAGTAAAGGAGTTTAAGCATGCGTGGGATAGACATAAGGCTATCCTAACTATAAGATAAGGCCAGGGACGAATGAAAGTACAGTGGGACCTCTGTTTACAAACGTCTCAGTTAACATAAGTTTTGGTTTACAAACGAAAATCCATTGAAAATAATGCCTCGGTTAAAAAAAAAAAAATTCGCAATACAAAGCAAATTTCCCCAGGATGCATTGCGCCTGGGAGGTTTATCGCGCCGCCCCGTGCATGCTGGAGGCTGTGGGTAGCACGTGGCATCGAGTGTGGAGGTGTTGGAGCAGCTTTTGCATCGAGTTTTGGAGCCATTCTGGAAATTGTTTGCAGTTGTTTTGGGACTTTTTGGTGCATTCCTCAAACTGTGGAAAGGTAGGGAGCTAAGCTTCGTCGTTTGCATGTCTTTTGTTGTGTGTTCTGCATTGTGGGTTGGTTTCCATGCCAGCTAATTTTTACTTTTTTTCTGACCTGCAGAACAGATTAATTGGTTTTCAATGCATTCCTATGGGAAACCACGTTTCGGTTTACAAATGTTTTGCAATAAGCGTCCCAGAGAACGCATTAAATTCGTAAACCGAGGTCCCACTGTATTTAGAAAATTGGGCAGACTAGATGGGCCGAATGGTTCTTATCTGCCGTCGCATTCTATGTTTCCTAAATGTATGTCAAGAGCTTCTTTGTGACTGTGTGGGAACTCACATCCAGTTGTGTTAATCAACCAGTCTTTGGAGTCATATACCAGGTCACATTTATGGACATAAAGCCTTTTATTGGTCTCAAGTTAGCAAACTACTGGCACCAGCACTGGTTCTGATAAAGAACACTGCTCATGCTAATGTAAATTACAAGATTTTTTTCCATGAATATCACTTATATTAAAACATCTAGCTTCCCACTATAACACTTATTTTAAGATTTTTCACTTTCCAGGAACTACCCCCTTAAAGTGAATAACGTTTTAACCTTATCATCCTACTCTACCTGCTAACCATGAGAAATAGATAGATAATAGATAATATGGAAACTCCAGTACTTACAGTGTTGTTCACTAAAGTAAATACAAAATAAATACATTTTACATTTTAAAGCAAACTAGCTGAATTAGGGAAAAAAAATTCAAGTCAGGGAAGTTATTAATTTGGCCATTTTGTCTTAAACGGGATACACTAAGCACCAAAACAACTTTGCTTAAATGAGGCGATTTTGGTGTATAGATCATGCACCTGCAGTCTCACTACTCAAATCAAAGATTCACTTTTAAATCTATATATTCCCACTATAACTGTGTGCCTCTGGGGACCTGCCATACTCCTGTAATCATGCCCTGTCAGCCCCGACTGAGGCTGTAAGGTAGGGATGGCCACGGTGAACCCCGACATAACCCTGCCCCACCCTCTATGTCTAACATTAAACCCCCTCCCCCAGTGTCTGACATCAGCCCTGACCCCCAAACCCCCCCCCATGTCTGACATCAGCCCTGACCCCCAAACCCCCCAATGTCTGACATCAGCCCCTGACCCCAAACCCCATGTCTGACCTCAGCCTGACCCCAAACCCCCATGCCTGACATCAGCCCTGACCCCCAAGCCCCCATGTCTGACATCAGCCCTGACCCCAAACCCCCCATGTCTGACATCAGCCCTGACCCCCAAACCCCCATGTCTGCATCAGCCTGACCCCAAACCCCCATGTCTGACATCAGCCCTGACCCCAAACCCCCATGTCTGACATCAGCCCTGACCCCAAACCCCATAATCTGACATCAGCCCTGACCCCAGAGCCCCATGTCTGACATCAGCCTGACTCCCAAACCCCCATGTCTGACATCAGCCCCTGACCCCAAACCCCCATGTCTGACATCGCTGACCCCCCCCATGTCTGACATCAGCCCTGACCCCTAATCAGCCATGTCTGACATCAGCCCTGACCCAGCCATGTCTGACATCAGGACCCCCATGTCTGACATCAGCCCATTCCCATGTCTGACATCTGTCTGACATCGGCCTGACCTGACCCCCATGTCTGACATCAAGTCAGCCCCCCCCTGACATCAGCCTGACATCATGTCTGACATCGCACCCCATGTCTGACATCAGCCTGACATCAGCCAATGTCTGACCCTGTCCCATGTCTGACATCAGCCCTGACCCCCATGTCTGACATCAGCCGGGCGACCCCCCATGTCTGACATCAGCCCTGACCCCCAAACCCCCATGTCTGACATCAGCCCTGACCCCAAACCCCATGTCTGACATCAGCCCTGACCCCAAACCCCATGTCTGACATCAGCCCCAAACCCCCATGTCTGACATCTGACCCCACCCCATGTCTGACATCAGCCCTGACCCCAAACCCCCATGTCTGACATCGCCCTGACAAACCCCCATGTCTGACATCAGCCCTGACCCCAAACCCCCATGTCTGACATCAGCCCTGACTGTCCTGACGCATGTCTGACATCAGCCCTGACCCCAAACCCCCATGTCTGACATCAGCCTGACCCAAACCCCATGTCTGACATCAGCCTGACCCAAACCCCCATGTCTGACATCAGCCCTGACCCAAACCCCCATGTCTGACATCAGACCCCAAACCCCATGTCTGACATCAGCCCCTGACCCCATGTCTGACATCAGCCTACCCCAAACCCCCTGTCTGACATCAGCCCTGACTCCCATTCCCATGTTTGACATCAGCCTGACCCCCAACCCCCCCATGTCTGACATCAGCCCTGACCCCAAACCCCATGTCTGACATCGGCCCTGACCCCAAACCCCCCATGTCTGACATCAGCCCTGACCCCAAACCCCCATGTCTGACATCAGCCCTGACCCCCAAACCCCCATGTCTGACATCAGCCCTGACCAAACCCCCATGTCTGACATCAGCCCTGACCCCCAAACCCCCCATGTCTGACATCAGCCCTGACCCCCCCCATGTCTGCCCTGACCCCCCCCATGTCTGACATCAGCCCTGACCCCCCCATATCTGACCCCAAGCCCCGGTACTCAGACAGCTGCGGTTACCGGTCTCCGAAGCCGAGGTGGGCGCTCAGACCCAGGACCAGTCACTGTCGGCCTCCAGCTGCAGACACACGTGGGCACTCCTCCTCCCTGCAGCATCCGCTACAACCTAACTTGACCGTCATCGGGACGGCACGAGGGCCGCGCCCGCCAATAGCAAGAGACACGGCAGATCCCGACCAATCAGGAGCCGCCTGCTTCCAGCAGGTTACAGTGAGCTCTCAGAGAGCGGACATAAACAAGGGGGTGTGCGCATGCGCAGAGAGGGGCACGCCGGGAAATGTAGTTCTAAATATAGTAGTTTTTATCACTTGAGGCCTCAGTTATGAAGACAGCAGTTTTCAGATAAAGATTGTGCCCCACTGTTTTCTCAAAGTCCACAATCATCATATTTATTGCGGGAACTTCTGAATAGGCAGAATCAGGGATTATTTATCAATAATTAAATGAGTTATGTGTATATAGGGGTCACAGGGAAACTAGGGCGCTAGGAAAGCAAAGTTTGCCCCTTTCCCTCATAAACTGCAATAATTACAACTGCGGGGCTAAGGCGCAGTGCTCTGGGTGCCTGTACTGTCCCTTTAAATGTAACTCTGAACATAAACAGTTTACACAACTCCCACCCTTTCAAAAGAGCAGAGAGAGAAACTTTAATTTTCGGGGTCTGATCAAGATGTTATTTGTGCCTTGCTACTAATAATTGATGCACAAAAATGTAAATCAGTACAAGAACAATGTGTCTTATTTACACAGACTGAGTTCTAAACTCATTTATTTAGGTAATGCAGAAACTAAAGAAAGTTAATGTAAACAAAGCTCCAGGGCCTAACGGTACTCACCCACGAGTACTTAAGGAGCTAAGTGTGGCAAAAAGTGAAACTCTGTTTTTAATCTTTTACAACTATTGTATTTTAGGAATTGTACCAGAAGATTGGAGGATTGTTTAGTTTATAAAAAAAAACGTGTGAGGGATATGATAACATTATACAAATATATTTGGGCCAATACAAACCATTGTCTGGAAATCTATTGAAAATCAGGAATATACATAGGATGCAGGGTCACACATTTAGACTGGAGGAAAGCAGAGTTAGTCTAAGAAAAAGGAAAGGTTTTTATTTATAGTCAGAACAATAAGGATGTAGAATTTCTATGCCTAAATTAAACAACAACAACAAAATGAATACTTACAATAACTTAAATTTCATATAATTTTTAATTTGTGTGGTAACAACAGCTTCTTGATCCAAGGAGAGATTCAGATGGATCAATGTGAGAAAGGCTGAAGTTGATGGAGGCAATGGCATGTCTCTTTTCAGCTGTGTAACTATTTAACTAATATTGTATTATTGTAGTTTAAAAACACATCACTGAGAGCTATATTGCTGTGAAGCTCTGATATACAATCCGACACACCAACAATATGGAGCTCCTAGAAAAGAGCGACATTACGAGAGAAAAATTGGGCTTGTGCCCAAAATAGTTACTGTTCCTTCTAACTAGGGGTGCTTTAACACAAGCAATGCAGCTAACTGGAGAGTTGGTTTGAGGGTATATCTAACTTGCCCATACATTCAAATTAAAAGGGAGAAATGTAAACCTTTTGTTTTTATACACAGAGTATTTTGGCACAGCATAGTGTTGCCATCTCACAACGCCCATTACATATGGTGCCCAGCCCAGTATTATATTCCCAGGACGGTGCCCATTACACAGAGTGCCCAGTATTATAATCACTGGTGCCCATTACACAGAGTGCCCAGTATTATATTCCCAGGACGGTGCCCATTACAAAGAGTGCCCACTATTATAATCCCTGGTGCCTATTACACAGAGTGCCCAGTATTATAATCCATGGTGCCCATTACACAGAGTGCCCAGCATTATAATCCCTGGTGCCCATTACACAGAGTGCCTAGTATTATAATTCCTGGACCATGCCCATTACACAGAGTGCCCAGTATTATAATCCATGGACCGTGCCAATTACACAGAGTGACCAGTATTACAATCCCTGGAGTCCATTACACAGTGTGCCCATTATTGCAATCCCTGGACCATGCCAATTATAATTCCTGCTGCCGATTACACAGAGTGCCCAGTATTATAATCCCTGGTGCCCATTACACAGAGTGCCCAGTATTATAATCCCTGGACCGTGCCAATTACACAGACTGCCCAGTATTATAATCCCTGGACCTAGCCCATTACACAGAATGCCCAGTATTATAATCCCTGGTGCCCATTACATAGAGTGCCCAGTAATATAATCCCTTGACCATGCCCATTACACAGAGTGCCCAGTATTATAATCCTTGGTACCCATTGCACAGAGTGCCTAGTAATATAATCCCTGGTGCCTATTACACAGAGAGACCAGTATTATAATCCTTGGTGCCCATTACATAAAGTGCCCAGTATTATAATCCCTGGTGCCCATTACACAGGGTGCCCAGTAATATAATCCCTAGACCGTGCCCATTACACAGAGTGCTCAGTATTATAATCCCTGGACAGTGCCCACTACACAAAGTGCCCAGTATTATAATCCCTGGTGCCCATTACACAGAGTGCCCAGTAATATAATCCCTAGACCGTGCCCATTACACAGAGTGCCCAGTATAATAATCCCTGGACCATGCCACTACACAGAGTGCCCAGTATTATAATCCCTGGACCATGCCCACTACACAGAGTGCCCAGTACTATAATCCCTGGTGCCCATTACACAGAGTGCCCTGTATTATAATCCCTGGTGCCCATTACACATAGTGCCCAGTATTATAATCCCTGGAGCCCATTACACATAGTGCCCAGTAGAATAATCTATGGTGCCCATTACACAAAGTGCCCAGTAGTATAATCCATGGTGCCCATTACACAGAGTGCCCAGTAGTATAATCTATGGTGCCCATTACACAGTGTGCCCAGTATTATAATCCCTGGTGCCCATTACACAGAGTGCCCAGTAGTATAATCCATGGTGCCCATTGCACAGTGTGCCCAGTATTATAAGCCCTGGTGCCCATTACACAGAGTGCCCAGTATTATTATCCCTGGTGCCCATTACACAGGGTGCCCTGTATTATAATCCCTGGTGCCCATTACACATAGTGCCCAGTAATATAATCCATGGTGCCCATTACACAGAGTGCCCAGTAGTATAATCCATGGTGCCCATTGCACAGTGTTCCCAGTATTATAATCCCTGGTGCCCATTACACATAGTGCCCAGTAGTATAATCCATGGTGCCCATTACACAGTGTGCCCAGTATTATAATCCCTGGTGCCCATTACACATAGTACCCAGTAGTATTATCCATGGTGCCCATTACACAGAGTGCCCAGTATTATAATCCATGGTGCCCATTACACAGAGTGCCCAGTAGTATAATCAATGGTTCCCATTACACAGAGTGCCCAGTAGTATAATCCATGGTGCCCATTACACAGTGTGCCCAGTATTATAATCCCTGGTGCCCATTACACATAGTGCCCAGTAGTATTATCCATGGTGCCCATTACACAGAGTGCCCTGTATTATAATCCCTGGTGCCCATTACACAGAGTGCCCAGTATTATAATCCATGGTGCCCATTACACAGTGTGCCCAGTATTATAATCCCTGGTGCCCATTACACAGAGTGCCCAGTATTATAATCCATGGTGCCCATTACACAGAGTGCCCAGCATTATAATCCCTTGTGCCCATTACACAGTGTGCCCAGAACTATAATCCCTGGTGTCCATTACACAGTGTGCCCAGAATTATAAGCCCTGGTGCCCATTACACAGTGTGCCCAGTATTATAATCCCTGGTGCTCTGGGTGCCTGTACTGTCCCTTTAAATGTAACTCTGAACATAAACAGTTTACACAACTCCCACCCTTTCAAAAGAGCAGAGAGAGAAACTTTAATTTTCGGGGTCTGATCAAGATGTTATTTGTGCCTTGCTACTAATAATTGATGCACAAAAATGTAAATCAGTACAAGAACAATGTGTCTTATTTACACAGACTGAGTTCTAAACTCATTTATTTAGGTAATGCAGAAACTAAAGAAAGTTAATGTAAACAAAGCTCCAGGGCCTAACGGTACTCACCCACGAGTACTTAAGGAGCTAAGTGTGGCAAAAAGTGAAACTCTGTTTTTAATCTTTTACAACTATTGTATTTTAGGAATTGTACCAGAAGATTGGAGGATTGTTTAGTTTATAAAAAAAACGTGTGAGGGATATGATAACATTATACAAATATATTTGGGCCAATACAAACCATTGTCTGGAAATCTATTAAAAATCAGGAATATACATAGGATGCAGGGTCACACATTTAGACTGGAGGAAAGCAGAGTTAGTCTAAGAAAAAGGAAAGGTTTTTATTTATAGTCAGAACAATAAGGATGTAGAATTTCTATGCCTAAATTAAACAACAACAACAAAATGAATACTTACAATAACTTAAATTTCATATAATTTTTAATTTGTGTGGTAACAACAGCTTCTTGATCCAAGGAGAGATTCAGATGGATCAATGTGAGAAAGGCTGAAGTTGATGGAGGCAATGGCATGTCTCTTTTCAGCTGTGTAACTATCTAACTAATATTGTATTATTGTAGTTTAAAAACACATCACTGAGAGCTATATTGCTGTGAAGCTCTGATATACAATCCGACACACCAACAATATGGAGCTCCTAGAAAAGAGCGACATTACGAGAGAAAAATTGGGCTTGTGCCCAAAATAGTGACTGTTCCTTCTAACTAGGGGTGCTTTAACACAAGCAATGCAGCTAACTGGAGAGTTGGTTTGAGGGTATATCTAACTTGCCCATACATTCAAATTAAAAGGGAGAAATGTAAACCTTTTGTTTTTATACACAGAGTATTTTGGCACAGCATAGTGTTGCCATCTCACAACGCCCATTACATATGGTGCCCAGCCCAGTATTATATTCCCAGGACGGTGCCCATTACACAGAGTGCCCAGTATTATAATCACTGGTGCCCATTACACAGAGTGCCCAGTATTATATTCCCAGGACGGTGCCCATTACAAAGAGTGCCCACTATTATAATCCCTGGTGCCTATTACACAGAGTGCCCAGTATTATAATCCATGGTGCC